ACATACAGATGGCTTATTTACAATTTACATACAGGTGGTTTTTTTACATACAGATTGCTTGTTTACAATTTTCATTTTAGATTTCGTTCTAATACATCCTAACCGGACATTTAAGACATACCAAGTCTACAGATATACAGTTAGTAACAGAGTCTAAAATGCGAGTATATACATAGATGGGGGGGGGAAGCTGTCCATTGAACGACAGGTTGAGATTTGTACCATTACCGGGGCCAGTTTTGCAATGCTCTCCCCCGAAGGTGCTCTTTAAGAGAGGTTTTGAAGGTAAGTATAGTTTTACTTTCCTTTACAGTTGTGGGAAGAGCGTTCCACCTTGATGTGGCATAATTGCGAAACGTGTATTCCCCCTTTTTTGTGCCAAATCTGGGTTTCACATGATTTGTGGAGCTCCCTCTGGTGTTATGATCATGGTATTCCTTGACCTTTGGGAAGAATTTTGACATGTACATGGGTACCATAGAGGTGTAGTGGATCTTGTAGACCAGGCCCATTGCAAGTAGCTGTACTCTGTCGTCTACTCTAAGCCATCCTAGGTTGTCAAAGTGGGCAGAGGTGAGGTGGGTTCTAGATGAAAGGTCAAGCAGTAGTCTGACCAGTTTATTTTGCGATGTTTGAAGTTTTATTTTTAGCGCCTTGGAGGTGATATGGTACCATGACGTGCAAGCATAGTCATAGTACCCTTGAATGAGTGCTCCTGCCAGAGTTTTCAGGGTGTTTTTGTTTACCAGAGAGGAGATCCGGTATAGGAATCTAGTTCTTTGATTGACTTTTTTTATTACATTGGATGCCATTTTGTCACAGGAGAGGTTTGCCTCAAGAATAGATCCTAGGTATGTAATTTCCTTCTTACTTGTGACAATTATGTCGCCCACTGCAACTGAGAAGTCGTCGGATTTGCTGAGATTATGTTTCGAACCGAAGAGAATGGACTCTGTTTTACCCAGGTGTAATGATAATTTATTATCGGCGAGCCAGGTGCAGATTCTGCCGAGCTCGGAGCTGAGGGTTTTTTCAACCTGCAACCTGTTCCTGCCAGAGACCTGCAGGGCTGAGTCGTCCGCGAACAGGAACAAGTTGCAGTCACATGCTGATGACATGTCATTTACATAAATTAGGAACAGTAACGGACCTAATATGCTTCCTTGTGGAACACCACAGCTCACTGGGAGGGGGGGGGGGACAGAGTACCGTTTACCTCCACCATCTGTTCTCTCCCCTCCAGGTAGGATTGCATCCAGCTCACCGATAGTTTATCAAAACCAATTGCTTTTAGCTTGTCAATCAGAATGGGGTGATTGACAGTGTCGAAAGCCTTTTGTAGGTCCAGCATCACCATGCCGCAGTACTTGCCCTCGTCCACCTCTTGTTTGATGTGGTCGCTCAAATAAAGAAGGCATGTGTCAGTGGAGTGGGATGTTCTAAAGCCAGATTGAAATTCATAGATTAGTTTCTTTTCCGCGAGGTACTTTTCGACCTGTTCATATACTATTTTTTCCATGACTTTCGAGATGGAGGTAAGTATAGAAACAGGGCGGTAGTTGCCTGGGTCCAATTTGCTGCCCTTTTTGTGCAGGGGGGTTACTCTTGCAATTTTGAAGTCTTTGGGTACTTTTCCCTGTTTTATGGAGAGGTTAATTATGTGAGCTATGACTGGTGAGATGGCGGTTGCTGTGTCTCTGAGGAATTTGGAGGGGATATTGTCGTGGCCAGTGGCCTTGTTAGGTTGGAGGGCGCTCAGTTTAATGAGTACCTCTGCTGTTGTTACCCTTGCTAGACTGAAATCATCTTTGCGTATCCCTAGGTCTGTCTCAATCCAAATTGAACTGTATGAAATAAAAAGGCACATTTGTCTTGTAGTAAATAAAAAGGGTGACCTGGAGCCAATCCTGCAATTTCCCCACAAGTGAAAGAGTTGACATGCTGAAAACTCAACCCCTGCAGGGGGGTCTGGGGGGATTCTCCCCCAGGAGATTTTTTGAAATACTAACATAAAATATACATTCTGGTAGCCTACTCTCTTGAGAAGAAAAATAAATACATCTATTACTACACGACATATTTAAAAAAATGAATGCCATTTTAGTTTTTTGTTACTTTGTTGTGAAAGCTGAACCTGCTGCTCCTCACAGAGAGAAGAGGGAAGAGGCTGTGTGAATTACTTTACATTGTGGATAAGGGTGGATAGCCCCCATTGTTCTGTGTGTCAAAATGAAAGACAGCCCACACACCTATCAATCATCAAACCGTGGGGTCTTATTTCATTACGTGTTGATTTCTATCAACACGTAATGTTGCATCGATGTATATAGAGATGTACTACAGCAAAAGTATTCTCCGTTGGGACTTCCTGCAACAACACAACGCCGTTATCTTGATTCTGATTGGTCAGAAGACATTATCAAAGATGTTCTATTGAGAAGACGATCACTACGTGACAAAAGTTTTCAAAACCGTTTCTAGTCTTCGGTATCCTTGTTTTGGCGTGAGAATAGTTTGGGCAGCGTGAGAGCGTGAGATTGAGAGTGAAAGCGTGTGTCACACGCCAGATGCGTGAGAGTTGGCAACCCTGGCTACTGTTGCTGGCGTTTAATCCCAATATAGTATAATACAGCAATTTCTGGACTTTTTTGTAAGCTTAAAAGTGATTTTCCTCCTAAGGGTTTCTTGTGTAATGTTGTGCTCTTACCTCATGATCCAGAACAGCTTTTCCTAAAAACTGAAGCTCACTACTACAACTAAAAGGCCGGTTAAAGTAACCGTGGTAACCACTAACTAGCTCGCTAACGTTTTATCACTTTGCGTAGCAACGTTAGGAAATATCCAACATGGCCGCCATCTTTCCCAGGTAAAACTAGAAAGGCAGGCTACAGGACACCACTTTGACCTAAATAATGTCGACTTTTACTTTTCTGTTGTTGCCATAAAAACAGTATGCTACCAGTGCAATAGCTACCATTATGACTGCCAACCAAAGTAAGTACAATTACTGTTTTTACCTGTCTAGGTGCAATTACTTACTGCTTCTTCTAACTGCGTATAGACTATTCCTCAGTGGTGGAAAGTAACTACATGTAGGCCTACTAAAGTAATGTAGGCCTACTAATCAAACATTTGAGGTACTTGTACTTTACTGGAGCATTTTCATTTTATACTACTTTATACTTATACTACATTGTGGACTGGATGCCAATTTTGTACTTTTTACTCCACTCCTTAATTTATTTAATAGATTTATTTTTCATAGCTACCTTTTTTAATTCAGATTTCGACACTACAAGAAAAACGTCTTCAATATTATTATTTGGTATAGATTAAACCATAGAACATTATATTTAAGTGACTTAAGAACGTGAATCAACAGAAAATGAATTGGCAGCAGTTTTGCTAAGAAGGTTTTTGTTTTTTATTTATTCAATATTTCACAGTTCCAGCTTCTTTGCTGCTTTGCTTTAAAATATTGTTAAATATTAAGATATCTGTTGACTTCTTCTCTACATTAAGTAGTACTTGTACTCCTAATACTTTGATTTCTTAATGCTCCGACCTAATCATAATTACATACTTTGACCCAATCTTGATGCAGTGCTTTTACTTGAATTTTAGTATTTGTACAGTCAGTGTTGTATTCAGGCCCGGTTCCAGAACAAAATGACTCAGGGTGCATCTGAGATTAGAGAGGGTGCAGTGGTAAAGTGCTATTTTTATAAGTGGGGAGTGGACCTAACACCCTAGGGGGTCCTCATCTCCTCTACGAGGGTCCTCACCTCCTCTAGGGGGGTCTGGGGGCATGCTCCCCCAGGAAGATTTTTTTTTTAAATATTGAAGTTAAAAGCATCAATCTGGTGCACTTTGAGAGCAAAATGAAGAGATCTATGGATCTACTGTATGTGCTCTTTGCTTGATTCATGCCTTCCCAGTCCCTTATCACGTAGCCTATAAGAGCATGGCGCCAGTTGGTGTAGCCAGTTGTGGTGAAGGCATCTGACGTACTTGAACCGAAATGTCTACATGCATAGCAGAAGATGGCATCTTTTTTACATGAATATTCCAGCCAATCTCTGTTTTGAAACCATGAGCTGCAAAATGAGTAGCCTACAGGCGAGTTGGGCACTTTTTTAAATATACCTGGGCAGGCTCTGTTTTGCCGAGGTCCTCTGGCACTTGCGGGCCGCTGAGGGGTGGCGGTGTTTGGGGCAACAAAGACGGCTGCGGCTGCTCCGCCTCTGTGGGCGAGGCGGGCAAAGCCGGCGAGTCGGGCGTTATTGTCCACGACAGTGGCCGCGGGTAACGTAATGTCCCCATGATCTGAACTGTTATTACCTGCAGTCGATGCAGTGTTACTGCTGGCGATAAGGGCTGGTTGTTTTAACAATTTTCTGATGTCCATCACTGACACTGATAGCTTTGTAAGAACCTTGCAGATGACGAACGCGCAGCGGCACAGGTCACACGCACCTGACATAATAATGTTACTTACCGTTTAAATTGATCAAATAAATGCAGCAATGTTATTTAACCACAATTTATTTTATTTCAACTAAATTCTTCTTCTTCTTCTTCTTCTTCTTCTTCTTCTTCTTCTTCTTCTTCTTCTTCTTCTTCTTCTTCTTCTTCTTCTTCTTCTTCTTCTTCTTCTTCTTCTTCTTCTTCTTCTTCTTCTTCTTCTTCTTCTTCTTCTTCTTCTTACTATTATGACTAAAAGAATCTGAATACTTTCCCCATCACTGCGTATACTGCTCTGCCCCCATGTTAAGCTCCCAATGTTTAGCCAATGGTGTTTAGTTTGATTTTCTTTGTAAAATATCAACCCCTTTAATATGTTATGTTTGTCAATGAATCTGAAGCAGTGTTAAAATACCCTCGCCACATATGAGATGATGTAATTGTCTGTGTTTTCGGATTATGAATTCACAACATTTTTTCCTTCGTTGTTTTTTTCCCAACCACTTCCACTGCCACTGTTCCTCAGACGTCACTGCCATTCATCTCCAGCTGTCCCTCCATCACAGCTGTCTCAGTTTCCAAGCCATACCATTGTAAGTAAACTACATATCTGTCATTACTTTACACTTGTTGAGCACTGTGAAGCATGCCCGCCTCTGTTGCTTGGGGAATACGTAACTCCATTAATGGCACAGTGACAGTTGCTTTCATTCCTACATACAGAATGTATTCTTGACTGTACCACACCCCAATACTGGGTGTGAGTACACGGAAAGGAGTAGATTACTTATTTGCATTTCAATTGTATTTAAATAGGTTTGTTGTAAACACTTGTTGATTAAAACACCCAAATTATACTATTATGCCCTTCTTTTGTCCACAAGATGGAGCCAAACTATAAATATACAACAATAAAAACACCAAAAACCCTAAATGGACTGCTTCTTCCACACCAGAAGATCTGAAGGCCTTTACCTGTTTATCGTATTTATATATAGCATACATCTTGTCACTTTCACACATAGTCATTATTCACACCTAAAGTTCACTCTATAAACAGCCTATATTTACGCTGACTATAATTCCCTAAGGTACCCTGCCAAACTAATTGGTACATTTTTTTAATTCCAACATGCTGCCATTTTTCTCTCAAATTAAAAGTATTTTGTTTACTTTGTTTCCCACGTCTTCAATTGTTTTTATTTTTGTAGTCCATTTACTTTGTGAAATAAAATGCAATCTTTTGTTCTATACTCTCATTTCCATTTTTGGAGGTGAACCAAAGTTGCCTAACTTCTCATAAATATTTACATCCTGTGTGCATCTCACAACTGTCCGTTAGTGAGACATTGTTGTTGTTGGCTTAAATGAATGTAAAAAGAAACAATAATGCAAATGTGTAGAGAAACTATGCATTAATCAAAGCAAAATGAACTTTATTCCAGCAGCAAAGACCCCGGTGTTGAAGCACGGGAGCCCCTGCAGAGCCTGGCCCTCACTGTGCTTCTGGATTGTACTTTAACAGCTGATTCGATCCCCCTGCACTGTGAGCCCGACGCTTCCTGGCTATTTATGGCAGATGCCCGTGTATTGAGGCCGCTGTCTTCAGCCCATACATGGTTGCTGTGGGATGAGGTTACCACGCCGATTTTGGCCCGCACTCTTCAAACCCCTTGGAAGCAGTGTTGTTTCACGTCTCACCGTCAGTCCAAGTATCAGACCAGGATCACAAACCTGGTTTACAAGTATGGACACCATCCTTTTTTAATCTTTTGGAATAGTTATAAGAACCACTTATTGTTTGAGTCTGTTCTACCACCAGTCTTGAGTGTTTTTTCGCAGCTTCATCCTTGTCCCTCTCCTTCACCTCTCTCCTGCATACCCCACTCCCCTCTCCCTTCTTCTCTTCCCTCTTTGCTCTGCCGATCCTGGACTGATTTATTTTTCCCGGTGCAGCAGAGCTGGTGGGAAAGCACCCGGCTATATTTGTCAGCTGCTGAGATTGGACCCGCTTCATGGTGGATGACTTTGGATCCTCTGGTTCGGTTTACCTGCTCACACCTCCGCCTCCCGCCTCCTCAGCACCTGCTCTGCTCTCAATAAGGAACTAGTGAGACCCTCTGTTTGGTGGTTTCAAACCCCCGAATTCAACTGCCTGGATAATTGGAATTTCTCTCGGTCCTTTAGTATTGGAGCTAAAGCATTGTGAGTATTGTTTAATCTTTTTCTACTTCTCCTGCATGCTTTGATATATATATAAAATCTGTGTGTAGGCAGATATTTGTTCTATCTATTAACCATTCATCATTGAGTTTTGTGCAGTTGTAAATTGTACAATGTTTAGCTTTTATTTGACTATATTTATGTGCTATATTATGTTTCAAATCTCTTAAATATAAAAATATTCCTAAAACTTAAATGTTCTGGCTCTGAATAGTGTAGTAACAGGAGATTGAAATGCAAAGTATTTGACTTACAGCTAAAATGCTAATTTAGCTGATAATAAGCTTTCTGTTAGTTTGATTGTCATTGTTTATTTTCTCTTTTTAAATGTTGTTGTTAAAGTAAACGGCATATTACATTTGATAACCATCCAACATAGGTTGCACGCACTGTAGGTTGAAAATATCAGTTTGAATCCCAGTCAGAAAAAAATCTGAATAATTTGACTTGACATATTTCTGCTTAATAAGTTATGTTAAGTTTGGCAGCCAGTTTCTTTAATATTGGTAAACTCCTTCATTGTCACTTTTTGCCAAATGAACAATAGCGGACACAATCTTTGGTGCTAATACGTAACATTGCGTGACTATTGTCTAGTTTAATTTTCTCCACTGAGACCTGAGTGCAGTTTCCCAACCCAGCCTCCCTCTTGCTGCTCTGAGCCGTCTCATGTAACCTCATGGGGGTATTAGCATTCCAACCTCCAGATTACGGCTGTATGGTGGTATGTGTGTACAGCTGATATATCGGCTTGGTGTGTTTGGGTGCAGTATTGTTCCAACACCGGCCGGGCGTCATTTCTCCACACTTTTGTTTTTATAGAGTGTGTGTGTGTGTGTGTGTGTGTGCGTGACACTCGGTTTGGCAGTTGCTTGGTGGGCCGCACCTGCTCGGCCCGTCAGAATGAGCAGACAGGTTTACAGGCCGGCCCCATGCTAGACCCTCTCCACCCTGATATTACACACACAGATTGGCAAACATCTCCAAACGTTGAAGACACATATGTCTGTCACACAGCTACATGCATTTACTTTGCTAAAATTGTTTAACACACGTTCAAGATTGAAAGATTCACGATTTCAAGGCTTTTATTGTCATGTGTGCATAGCTACAGTGTAGTAATGACATTCTTAGGTCACAGGCTCCTCCAACAGTGCCAACACAATAAAACAGATAATAGTGCAAGTAAATAAAATAGAATCTAATAGAAATAGTGCAGAATAGTTTATATACAAGTCATTGGAATATTGATATAAGTTGCAAACAGATGAATGTTATGGATGTTCTCTCAAAAGTTCAGGTGTTTAACAGTCTTATGGCCTGTGGGATGAGACGGTCCCTGAGTCTGGTGGTTCTAGACCTGCGTATGAATAAATGCATACATGCTTTGCTTTGTCTTTTGTATTTGAACTTCATAGCTTCTTTACTGGACCTCAGGATTAAACGCTCTCACCCAGTTTGAGTTATGCCTTACCCTTAGAAAACAAGTCCAGATTCTTGCGTTTTTAGTCGAGGTTATAATGACATTACATATCACCCCATTTTTCTTGTTGTGGGTTGTTTGCAGGATGCAGAGGCAAGGTTTATTTGTTGTGAACAGCAAAGTCCAATTCATGGGTGAAGAAATGGACTCGAGCACACAAACCTTCTCTCTGATTCCTATTCAGGAGGTGTGTGACCTGTTGAATGTCGTCTCATGCACACGTTACCTTGTAGCGTGTACTTAGCAACTTGCTGTCTGCTGGTATGTCAGTACATGTCAGATGTCAGAGAGTTGTCATGAGGCCTCTGACAGCTCTTTGGGTTCCATGTGTCTTGAATCATCTTGTGATTATGGCCACTATGTCCATTCTCCTATGAGTCGTGTGATCTAGGCTGTTCATTGCCACATATGTGCCACGTTGTCTTTATGGAAACACGCTGAGCAGTCATTTTTGATAAAAGCCACTTTATTTTGAAAAACAACTAACACACTTAAAGTAATGTGGTTTCAGCAGGATTCACATGAGCACACACGTGTAATACTGCAAGAGTATAAGTCAAAAAAGGTGCTTGGGTATATACCATATGGGTACTGCACGTTTAATTCATTTGATGAAGTATGAGAAGGAGCTATATGACTTTAATGTGACGTTCCCT